TTTACACGAAGTGTTAAAGTTTTTTTTTCTACTTGCAGCTCTCGGCTGGAGGCTATCTAATCAAGACGCTGGCGGGAAAAACTTTTCAAATTTTCTGCGAGCCGTCGTCTACCATTGAGACGGTTAAAGACATCATTCGGGACGAGGATGGCGCTCCAATTGATCAACAGCGTCTCATTTACGCCGGAAACCAGCTCGAGGACTGCAGAACTCTATCCGACTACAACATTGTACCAGGGTCCGAGCTGCTTCTCGTATATCGGCTGCGCGGTGGTGGCTGCCCCACAGAAGGTGAGTGCTGCACTGTAAAAAAATCAGTCTTGGATACGGAGCCTGTCACGGCGTTCCATACCTCACTTTTAGGAGTGATTTTCGAAAGCGGTTCGGAGATTTACCGTACCTCTGGCCACCGTACCAACGAATTTTACACAAGCTAGCATAGGGAAGGGGGTAAGGAACGCTGTAACAGACCCCGTACTCAAGACGAAGACTTCCGGTTCAAAATTAACGCTTTTTCGTACCGTTCCGTACCCTGTCTCCGTTTTAAATGGGCTCTTATGGGGGAAGAGGGTACGAAACCCAAGGTACGGAGACGCCGTAGGCTAAATATAGGGCACATTTCCGTATGGGCGACCGTCATTAATTTTTACAGTGTGCGTCGGCCCGCAGATTGCGTTGCGTGCACTCTAGAAAGGGTATCCTTTCTAGGTGCACTTGCTTCCCCTTCAATGAAAAAAAGGACTAGTAACATGTACCAGACAAATCCTAGTTAAATGGATGCTAGTTATTACAACTAGGATAATACTAAGCTTTACTAGAAGTTTAGTATCGTATACAAACTCAGGTATAATAACAGGTACCAGCCGTCTAGTAACTGAGTCTGGTTAGGTTAACTAAACTGTATAGTAAATTTCTGCACGTTTACTAGGCTATGCCTGTGGTCCGGCGGCGGTGGCATCACACTCTCTCGCACGCCTCTCTCCTCAGGTAGTCACCGTAGCCGAGTGGTCTAGGGTGCGGCCTTCCAAGGTAAAGGTCCGCGGTTCGAAACTCGGTCAGGGGCTTCGAAATTTCGTGGGTTAACGAGTACCCGTTGTAACCGTAGTAACGGGCAGACATCTTCTGTATTGCATTCGTATATTTTTTGAACACTCTTTCGAAAGAAAATGTGTGGTATCTGTAACTACACTGTAAGTCAAAGTGTGATACTTTTCACACATTTTCGTGTGATAAAATGCCCGGTGTGATTCCCTTGATTTATCACTCCTGGGGGAGTGATGAATTTTTATCACACATATTCTGTGATACTTATGGCAAAATAATGCGATAATTCTGGACTTATTGCAAAACAGTGTGATGCCTCAAAGTGTCACTCGAATAAGTGATGGTCATCACAAATATGAGCAATGAATGTAATATTATACTTTTGCTGCGATGATCATCACAACATCGTGCAATATTTCTTTATCAGAAAACGCGCAGTCAGTATCACACTCGGATTTACAGTGTAAGCCGTCTGGTAAACAGTACTAGCAATCGCAAAAGTGTGCAGTATCTGTAACTAGACACCTTGTAAATTTTACTAGACTTTGTGTTACTACACTGTAAAAAATATTAGTAATTTTACTAGCTACTGGGTGGGGAAATTTCATGTACAAAGGTTCGGGATTTGCAGTACATGGGTTGGGAATTTACCTACTGGAATGGAAAGTAGCCTTTGCATGCCACTTGCGCTGTGAAAGGATCCTTTCATGCCCACGCAAGTGAATTTACTGACTTCATTGACTGCAAATTTCCCGACGTGGGCTAGAAAGGGTCCGTTCGGCACCCACCGTTTGCGAATTTCCCCAAGCCGACGAGGGAATCCCGTGGCCGTGGGCAGAAAAGTGTACTTGCGTATCCCACTGCCTGCAAATTTCCTTGCGGCGGCTGCAAATTTCCCACAAATTCGTGACTGCCAGAGCGTCGTGGAAGGAGACGTGGGTTCGGACTACTACTACACTGACGCCACACCACCCCACACCAATCACCTCCTTTCTTTAACCTCGGCCACCCCGACGCGAAGCCCGCGATTGACTGCCGCTAGATGGCGTTTCAGTCAGCGCGTCTCCCACAAAATCAGCTTTTTTTATTAAATTAAAACTCCCTCCAGGTAATGGCAGTTAATTCTACGCAGTATGTTATAGAAGGAATCACCCTAACCGACAACAATCGGCGTTTGCCGAAAAAGTGAACCATATCCCCCAAATAATCTGTTAAATTCTAACGCTCGGGAGGTCTCCGCAACGACGTCTTGTTCAGTACGTCCCCCTCACCTCGTCACTGAGAGGTACGCCCACGTGCGTTCTTCCCATGTGACTTGTGACTTCACGTGTCGCTGGTGTGACATATTCTCTTCTTGAGATCGATAATCAAATTTTTGAAACTGAATTCGGTAACCGGTGGACTACTATATATACAGTCCAGTCGGCCCGAGAACAATTGGTTAAACTCGCACTTTGCCCCTAAGGACTGTCATCGGAGAGGAAATTTCCGTGCTAGTGGAGTGGCAACGCCGCCATCCTTGTCCTGGGCTGGAGATTTGCATGTGGTGGGCACGAAAGTCATCCTCACATGCGCGCAATGGGAAATTTGATGACGGTGAGTCAGTCTAGACTCCTTTCCTGCCCACGTAGTAAATTTACTGGTGGGTTGGAAAGACTCCTTTCCCAACCACATTGGCTTGTAAATTTCCCTACCAGTGGGCCGGGGATTTACAGGCTATTTGGGTCTGTAAATTTACCGAACACTAGCTGGCAAAGGAGCGTTGCCACGCGGGGAGGGGAAAATTCCCTCTAATTTTTTTTACAGTGTAGCCTGTCTGGTATCTTTTACTAGATTCCTAGTTGGTTCGTATTTTACTAGACTGTCTGGTACCTGGTACTAAGATCCTAGTAACTGCTACTTTTTTCAGTGTTCCCAAGTAACAGAGATTTGTCTGAAACACGTCAAGTTAAAGTATACTGACGTCACTACTATTTAGTCACGTTGACGTGTTTTAAATCGCGATATTTGACGCAATTTTGACGTCGAAGCAACGTAATATTGACACTTAAAAATCATCTCATGTCAGCTTTGACTTCTAAGTGACATACACGTGACTGTAGAGAGTCAATATTACGTCACTTTGACGTCAAAATTACGTCAAAAATCGCTACTTAAAACATGTGAACGTGACTTAATACACTCGCTACGGCCTGAAACACTACGTGTCCACTCCGGGCGAGAAAGCCGCGCCGTTTGCTGGGGGCGTAGTATAGGCGCTTTCTTCCAGAGTGGACACGTAGTGTTTCAGGCCGTAGCGAATTTCACCAGGAAGCACTCGGAGCAGGTGTCTGATTCCTCGCGCCCTCCAAGATGAAGGTCGAGCACACCTTTTGACGGGCGGGTCAAGTCGGCCACCCCAGCGTCACATTGCACGATGTTTTGATGGTCATCGCAGAAATAGTACAACATAAAATTAATTGCTTATGTGTGATGACCATCCCTAATTTGAGCGGTACTTCGAGGTATTATTGTTTGGTGCAATGTGCATCACACCGTTTTGCGATAAATCCGAAATCATCGCATTATTTCGCAATAATTATCACAGAAAATTTGTGATAAAAATGCATCACTCCCAAAAAAATGATAAATCATTCGTAATCACACGAAAATGTGTGAAAAGTATCACACTTATAGAATCACAATTTGTGTGTTTGTGGTACACTTATTAGCTTGTAATGTTTGCTTGTAATTTGCAGAGGACCACAGTGACAGTGCTCCAGGGGACGGTAGTGTGCAGGCCAAGGAGTCGCGCTCGACTTTGCCGGAGTTAGGCGACGCCTGCCCTGTGGGTGCCGCCCCTATCCCAGTTGTTGGTTCGACCATCGCCTACGATCCTACCGTACTGACAGTGGGTCGCATCAGGCCGGGAAAGAAATTGGCCCCTCCTTCATCTCAGAGTGCCAAGTACCACATACACTCGGACTTAGGAAACTGGTCTCTTCAGTTTGACGTCTTTGTTCTTGGTGAAAGGCCTCCATCTGCCTAAGAAAAATCTATTTTGTTGTTGTTAGAGCGTGCGTCTTTAGCATCTCTTAGAATTGTAAATACAACTCTAATTAAAATTGTTTTCTGCTCCACTAAATGCTCTCAATGATCCTGGTTATCTGAGAGTTTCTCTGTAGGCCTTCGTCGACTTGTACTATCCAAAGATGATAGATACATGTGTTATATAGTGGTATTTTTCTTGATAATCTGTACCTTCCGTCTTACTTAAACACGTGATTAAATATTGTTTTGATCATTTGTTTTCCGTCTTATGAAATCCGCAAACCACACGACCACACTTTGTTATTCGAAATGCAATAGTTTCATAAAAAAAACGATGCAATAATATGTGATCGAGATAATGAGAAAAACGCTATTCGTAAATTTTAATGTACCTGTGAAAGCGATAATTTTATAATCACTGT